ACTCGCAACGCCTTAGCCACGGACGCCGCAACAAAAAATGTACAAGCATAAAATGTTAACTGGTGCATATGAGTAAATCCAGTCATATGTGCTGTGTTGTTTGGAACTGAAAGAGAATGAGAAAAACAATGGTATACAATGGTAGATCTAATAAGATTAGTTACAGCCTTTTTTCTTCAGTTTAGTGGCTATTCCATTGTTCTTTTGCCCTACAGCCTATGATACAAAACATGGCAGATAGGAGTTACATGTAGTTTCTTGTCTTTTGTTGTTGTTGGGCTATTCCATTATATAAATAAAATGTACAGTAGTGGCCTAGTTGGGAGCAGTGGTAGCACAATAGCTATCTACCCAACAGGTCTTGGTTCAAATCCACAGAGGGGCAGATTATGTTTTAATTTATGTTGGCTCTGAGGTTGACAACTTAAAATGATGACTAGGAAATATCATAGGAAATAAAGGCAATCCATGTGGTAATGACCACATCACACCTTGCCAGTTGGTATATAAAAATATGAATTTAGCACCAAATACATTACATTAGTATTGATCATTCCCATGTCCCACCCTGGCTGTTGCGGAGGGCCCTAATATAATCTAACAGTTGAACATGGTTTCTGGGACCTCTCCACAGGTGATCCTCATAAAGTAAAAAATACTATACAAACATACAAGAGAAAAAAGATACATTTTCTTCAGTTAAAAACAAAGATAATTCAACAATTTCTACATGTGAAAAGACAGTTCTGGTCCCACTGTATAATATCCTATTTGAGTCCTCTTTGAGAGGGAGTGTTTAAAAAAAATAGACCTCTGACTGCCAGAATGACCCAACCAAAATTGATAACAGGAAAAATTCGGAGACATAATAGTCAATCCATATAATAATAATAACATGATCCATCGAGAACAAAATAGTTTAACAGAATTTGAGGTTAGCCCCATACACCGGAAGCTGCAGTAGCATAGTGGTTAGATGCTTGTCTGCTGGCCTGAAGGCCATGGGTTAGAATCAACATGGACTAAGATTTTTTTAAAAAAAAAGCCTTGGTTCCCAGGTTAACCCAACCAAAATGGGTACAAGGCAGTATTTAGGAAAATAAAAGTGGCTGGTGTGAAATTTACCACATCACCCACAGAGCGCCAGTAGCTTCTTTAAAAAGGCCCAAGGTGTAAAAAAAAAATGATCTTAATGTTTTTTTTATTCAACTTTAAAATTCTATTTTTTAATTTAAAAAAAAAACCGATTTAAATATTAGTGTGTTTCTGCTGCTTATCTTGACTTATGTACTCTGTTTCTCCACTTGTACTCTGAGGTATGTTGAATTAAGAATTGACATCACAGCACTCCGGACACTCCCATAAGTGCTCAGTCCCCATCTTCTGCAGCAAACGAAGAGTTCCAGTTCGTATGGTACCAGTAACAATCTGAGTGTATATCTGTCTCATCCTTTCCCTGAGTGTCCCCTGGTAACTCCTTGCATTCTCCTTAGACCGTAATGATCTATCTGCGCCTCTACACTGTCTACTTGCTCCCAAAGGGCCCTCACAAAATCTAACTTGTCATACATCAATTCACCACCAACAGACAGTCTACCTGCTCATTTCCCACCACACTGGCATAACCTGAAGAAAATATCCAAAGGATGCTAACTACCCAGGACCTCTGAAGTGATGCTTGCCACTCTGCACGAAGTTGCCTGTTTTCACCTTTCTCAACACGCTCTGTGAGTCAGTTACAATCACGGCATGTGTGTACAACTGATTCTCAAGCCAGTGGAAGGCAGCAGAGACTGCCTCCACCTCCATTCTCAAACTAGACGTGATATTACTCTGAGGAATAGAAATCCTTATGCTTGTAGTTTACTAACAGTGGTAATTCCCAATTTAGTAAAACCTGATAATTCTGTCTTCACAGTTCTTAGGTGCCACCTCAAAAACAAAAACAAATAAAACACATTTTTTAAAAAGTGCTGCTAATTTCTACACACACTGAACAGCAAACCTGACTAGTAAAATTATAAACATGGTCTACATCTTATGCTACCAGTAGATATGTTAATTTTGTACATAAATTTCCATATGATGATGATGAGTGAATATAATAGGTCATAGGTTTTGTCATTAAATGCAAAAGTAATCTAAAAAATATGTTTCATGTCGGTATATTTATTATATCTCAAGTTATATTAACTATGGGCTAAGGTGCATTTTAGACATGCTAAAAGGCCATTTAGTAAAATGACACATTTAAACTACATTTTTATGTACATAAAAAGAGACAGATTTTCAATTCACTCAAATCATTTTTATTTTTAAACATCTAAAACTAATAAAGCAACACTCGACACAAATAAAAACACTGCAACTGTACATCTGACCATTCACCCAAATTATTAAAGGCTACAAAGAAAGTTTTCAGGACAGGTTATCTCATGTAGCAGGACATTTACAGAAAGAGCAAATCTTCTTCTACTGTCTTCCTCTGAAGATGCAATTGTAGGAGTAGAAGTAGATGTTTACCCCACCAGGACATCACACAAGCGATAAACACCCCATGACACAAATTGCCACCATGTGGATGAGGATCACCCATGGAGAGGTCCCAGGAACCATCAGTATATATTGCAATCCCTGGCAAGAACCAGGGTGGGGCTTCAAAAAAGAGAAAAATTGCATCTCACAAGTAGATGACTAGGTTGGATAAACTGTTGACAAGGAGATATGACTGACTGACTTTTTACCCACTAGGACATCACACAAGCGAAAGACACCCAATGACACAAAGTGCCACCATATGGATGAGGATCACCATGGAGAGGTCCCAGAAACCGCGTTCAGACAATTGGCCATATTGATGGCCTGCCTATATTGCGGCCCCTGGCAGAAGCCAGAATGGGGCTTCAAATAACAAAAAAATTACGTCCTGAAAAGGACGTAAGGAATCTGACAAGGAGATTTGAACTGAACTGACTTTCTACCCCACCAAGACATCACACAAATGATAAACACCCGATGACACAAAGTGCCACCATCTGGATGAGGATCGCCGTGGAGAGGTCCCAGAAACCGCGTTCAGACATTTGGCCATATATAGCCTGCCTATACTGCGGCCCCTGGCAAAAGCCAGAGAAGGGCTTCAAATGACAACAAATTTCGTCCTAAGAAGGACGAAGTTAGAACTAAAGGAGATTTGTTGTGACTGTTTACAGCATGACAGCAATATTTTTGCCTTTTGGCTGACACAACTGACTTCTGCAAGCATTTACAAGGTCCGACAATTAAGTAATGAGACTAATTCCATAAAAATGAAAACAATTACAGTTGAAGATAAAACCTGTATTTTATTCAAAGTAAGCCTCTTGTGCAGTGGTGATACAGCAAGCGGTATGATCTAACAAACACTGGAACAACCTCTGTAGTTCTTCTATCGTTATTGCCCTTAGAGTCGATGTTACCGCTCTTTGGATGCCATCATTATTGTCAAAAAAGTGTCCTTTCAATGGCAACTTTAATTTTGGGAATAGAAAATAGTCACAGGGAGACAAATCTAGGAAATAGGGTGGATGGTTGAGAACAGGCATCTGTTTTTGGGCCAAAAATTCCTGTACAACTGCAGCCCTTTGATCTGGTGCATTGTCATGCAGAAGGAAAAGAAATTGCCAGGTGTTGAATATAAATGGACAAATAACTTTTTTCTTGCTCAAATCTTCCACTAAAATTTTATGAATAGTCTCTGCATTAACAAGAATTCATCTACCATCATCCTCACAGTTGAACAACCATCTTCCTGTATCCGTTCTCGGAATTTAGCAGTGAGTTACTCATTACGAACAGAAATTAGTAATTATTTCCACACCACTATTGAATAGTGAATACCAGCTGAAAAATCTGTGCATGAGATAAACAATTATCCCCATAAACTTGTCGCATAAATTCAACTGTCGCAATGGCGCTTTATCTGAGTTTTAAACGTAATTTAATGTTAGCTTTTTTGCTCCATGCTAATTACGTTACAATGCACCTCTGACTAGGCTAACAAAATGGCCGCTTGTTTGTTGTCTACTTATCAGACAGCAATGAAAAGTTGCCAGATCATAAACAAAGGTTTCCTCTTTTAATTTCATGTTTTGATTTATAGATGGCATTTGTGTCTTGGCCATAATAAAATTAGTCTCACTACCTAATTGTCGCACCATGTATAACTAGGTTCTTCTTCCTGAAAGAGGAAATCAGTTATTTTGGTTTGTAATTTTCATAAACTGATTTGTTGTTCTGATAGTTATACTTTTTAAATGTATCTTCTACTACACAAGTGCTTCCTAGTTTAATGATCAACATTTGCTATGCATCTATTACAGCATGAGTCACACACAGGATGGTCCACTTGGGGTCTTCACTGGTGTCCCATAGCTTGCCTTGCAGGGTTTTTCCTGTGGACCAGATTTCTTCTTCCAGACAGCCAAAGTCTGGGCAATCCTGTAAGACTTTTTAATGCACCAGAAACACATTTGGCAAAATCAGAGAGCTCCATTTTATATGGTGCGCTCTGAGATTAGAGTGTCCTGTTCCTATTTATATGTCCTACTTTGTACTTTCAGTTATCTTCTTTCCAGTAATTTTTAGTATCAGGTTTAAGACAACATTTTGAGACAAGAATCTTTTAAATACTTATATGGACCATATATAATTTATGTGGACCTCAATAAAGCAGAAGAATCCTGCACCAAACACTTCAAATCCACAAAGTACCCTTTAAGAGTTAATCTCATGCTTGCATTATACATATGATCTTCAATAAGCATTAAATACTTTACCATTGGTTCCAAATTAATGTCCTAAACATTACCAAATAGGAAATAGTTTTATTGCCCAGGTGATATAAAATAAAAACAAAAGTTGCTTGGCAAAGCCCTTTTTTTTTGGGTGCTGGTTGCACACATCATTTACACTTGCGTCATATTTACCTAGGATATCTAATAAAGTTGTAAACATCATAACTAGTTGCCATGCTTCTTGCAGTAGGCTCTGCCACCTTTGGCACAAAACTGTTGCCCTTCCAGGTTTATCTGGCAAGTCTGTTAAAAGAAACAAAGTAATGATCAGCTAAATCTGAGATTAAAATATCATAAGTGTTGTAATAAAAAATCAAAGTAGAAGATAATTAACAATAACAGATTATCTCTTCAATAATCAGTCACCCTTTTCAGCTGCTTTCACATGCTCATGGCTATTGCTGCAAGCAGTGTTGGATTCAACTAAATAAGCTACAGCATAAGGCCTCACAATCCACAGAGGCCTCAAAACCCTTTCCTTGCCCCCAAAAATGCAATTTCAATGCAATATTATGAGCTATTCCTGTGTCTAATGGTAATATAATGCTCAGAAGAAAGTTTGTTTTCATAGCTAAAGAGAATACAAATAAACTGAGAGCAACTTTGTCTTATCATGTGCAGAGAAAGCCACATATAAGGCAACATTTATTTTGAGTAAATAATCAATTATTTTGCATTAGGTACATCAAGGAAAAAAATGTTTTAGCTCCAATTTCTTGGACTTAATCTGTCTTGGCAGTGGAGAGCTCTAACAACTGAACTACCACAACTCAAATGTTATAGTATTAAACTATTCTGGTTATAAAAATTATTAACGCTAATATTTTAGAAAAAAATTATCAGAGTTCATCTTTAAGATAATTTTTTACATTGTTTATAAAAAAAATTAATAATAATGTTTTTTTTTAAATATTCTTCTTCTTTCGTTTACTTGAAATAAATTATCTATATCTGCAATGATGTCTCTAGTATGAACTTCACTGTCTTTTATAACTCACTCAGCGACCCGTAAAGTTTGACTTGCACCGATGTTTCTCTTGTCAAAAAGTTTTGCCTTGATATGTTAAAATATTGACTTTAACATTGTTATTTAAAAATAATTACTGTTGTTTAGGACATTAATTATTAACACTGTTATCTAAGATACTAATTATTAACACTGTTACTTAAGACTAAAAACAAAAAGAAAGAATTCTTACTGCACAATTGAAGCATTCACAGTGGAAGTTTTTACCCACGGCCTCCACCCATTTGTCACCAGGTTCAATTGGGAAGTTGCAACCAGAGCACATTGTCTGGAACATGGCCATCCAATCTACGGCGAGGGAGAGGGTGAGAAAAACAGCAATCATTGTCAGAATATAATCCTACAACTACAATGAGACTGAGTGAGTGAGTAAGTGAGTGAGTGATTGAGTTGGTGATTGAGTGAGTGGTGCATGAATCAGTCAGTGAATAAGTTCATCAGAAAAATAGGGGAAAGAACGAAACTGAGATAACAATATAGATTATTAAAAAAGAAAAGTAAATGTACATAAAAGACATAAATTATCATTATTATAGTTCATATTAGAGTCAACATGGCAGATATAGGTTCTCTGTTTCAAGCAAAAAAAAAAGAAGAATTTTTTAAAATTATTATTTTCCTCCTCCTTTTCCTTCTTCTTCTTCTTCTTTTCCTTCTTCTTCTTCTTCTTCTTTTTCTTCTTCTTCTTCTTCTTTTTCTTCTTCTTCTTCTTCTTCTTCTGTTTCTTCTTCTTCTATGTTCACCCTTAAAAGAACAGCTGGCAAATTGTGTTGTGGTATACAGTTAGTTTGTGATGTCTACAACTTACAACCCAACACATCCAATTTCAGCAAATCCTTAATTAGTCACTTTATTAAATAGTAAGGGTCTATTACCCCTCCCCCCCCCCACCCCTTCCCCCCCCCAAAAAAAAACCCACAACATATGGGGTAAGAGCCTCTACTGGAAGATGGAGATTATACAAATAAACGAGAGTAACAGTTGAGATGATACTTATAAAAGAGACTAACAGTTGAGATGATACTAATAAAAGAGACTAACAGTTGAGATGATACTAATAAAGGAGACCAACAGTCGAGATGATATAAATAAAAGAGACGGCTCTCCTAGCAGATTTGAATGCAAGCTGGACGGCTTTGGTCGCCTTAGTGGGAGTTCTCTCCCTTGGCCGCACTCAAAACAAGTAGCCGAAAGAGTCATGAATCAAACAAGACAGCGAGGTCGACATCAGGGCTGCCAATGCTTGGGTGTGTCCCCCAGATCTGGTTTTTTTTTTTACGCTGCGGGGATATCAGTGTTTTTTTTTTGTCTTTTTGTTTTGTTTTGCCGATCTGTATGCTTTAATGACCGATAAATTTGCGTGGTTAGGGGTAGGATTAGGGTTAGGGTTAGGATAAGGGGTAGCGTTAGGGTTGTGGTTAGGGTTAGGGGTAGGGTTAGGGTTAGGGTTAGGGTTAAGGTTAGGGGTAGGGTGAGGGTTACGGTTAGGGTTAGGGGTAGGGTTAGGGTTAGGGTTAGGGGTAGGGTTAGGTTTAGCGTTAGATGTGACAATTTTGACACCGTAGTTCCCTATAATCGCGCACAGTCACATACACACTCAAACAGTGGACGGACGGTGGATGCTACTGACACGGACAATTCGCCACCGATTGGGCACCAGCCGCCCGCTATTGGCGTCATATTTGGCAGAATTTCAGTGGCGCCACTCCCACAAGCATCAGATTGTCGGCCACTATTTCGACCAAATTTTCACATCTAACCCTACTCCTACCCCTACCCCTAACCCTAACCCCTAACCCTAACCCCTAACCCTAACCCTACCCCTAACCCTACGCAACCCTACATGCAATACACAGCCCTACACGCAACCGTAGGATGATGATAGACACCCTACGCAGCCCTACACGCAACCGTATGATGATAGGTTACCGTAGACGCAACCGTGCGCAACCCTACACGCACCCAGATGATGATAGGTAAGTATGTCATTTGATTCGTGACTTTTTCCGCTACTTGTTTTGAGTGCGGTCAAGGGAGAGAACTCCCACTAAAGCGAAAGAAGCCGTCCCGCTTGCGTCCAAATCTGCTAGGAGAGCCAAAGAGACTAACAGTTGAGATGATTTTAATAAAAGAGACTAACAGTTGAGATGATACTAATAACAGAGACTAACAGTGTGATTCAAGGACATGTGACTTTTCGTTCCTTATTTAACCAGGAAGGCTATCTCAGGTAACAAATATCTGAACAATCTGTGTGTGCCAGCCAAAAGGCAGAAAACTGCAGCTGTTCTGTAAACAGACTAAATGCAGTTACAATGAACTCTACAAAATAAACTGAAAGTATATCTATTGAATAACTCTAAGATAAAGGTTGATAAGAGAGGCCAAAGCTGCTGGACTGGATTTACATCCATGATATTGAATTGATCACACAGGATAGAACAGAATGCAGAAATAGACTGCGTACCCTATGTGACAAATCATGGCACAAAAAGATAATGAATGAATGAATATGTATTGAACACAGAAAAAAATCAATTAGAGCAAGTATTATCCTCAAATTGATTTTTTTTAAAAACACATATGGTTTACCTGCTTCACAATAAAAGTTCCCATCTTCAATGTGGAACTTGGTCCCACTGATTGGCTGTCTGCACTGTGTGCACAAGAAGCAGCCGGGATGGAAGCTCTTCTGTGCTGCATTAACACATTCCTGCAAGGGCCAGTCAACAATTGGACAAGAATCATGTCAGTAATTATCTACTGAGGTATTCTAAATGATGATAAAACTGTAGGTTATAAATGTGCGCGAGACAAAAAGTTTTTGTATAGTAAAAATAGTATATCCATCTCGCCCTTCCCTTGAGTGTTGAGAGTTGGCCAGATCCCCTTGTAACTCCCCGCAGCGCCATTCTCTTCAGACCGTAATAATCTATTTGTGCCTCAGCACTGGTAACTCGTTCCCAAAGAGCCCTCACAACATCTAGCTTGTCATACACCAATTCACCACCAGTTGGTTCAGAACCTGCTGGTCTATCTGCCTGCTAATTTTCCAGCACACCAGCATAACCTGGAGAAAATATCTAAAGGATGGACTTTATGATGATGATGATAACAATTAACTCCATAAACTTACCCCAACCACTGGCTGACCGCATCTGTCACAGTGAGGGGCAAAGTGAATGGCATAGTCTTGCTCACAGTACAGGAAACCTCCCTCTTCCACAAATCCTGTGTCCTGTAGCTTGATACCACATCGAGGATTGGCACACACAAAATGATCCGGGCACCAGCATTTGCCAAGTGCAGTTACAAAGGGACCCCTGTGGACAGGTAATTTTGTTTTAATTTATCATGATTCAGAAGGTTTCACAACATTTGTAGTCACAAAGGGACCCCTGTGGACAGGTAATTTTGTTTTCATTCTTTATGATTCAGAAGGTTTCACAACATTTACTAAATAGGAGAAATATGAGGGCTGTCCAGAAAAGAAACAAGCCATAATTAATATGAAAGAGAATGGTCTATGCTACATTGATGTACCTTGGGGTCCAAAAACATTAGCAGAAGAACAATTTCAGCACAGTGTATGAACTCTGCAGCATGGTTGTAGATCAAAATGTTTGTTGACCAGAATAACTCATACTATAGCATTTTACATTTTTGTTTCGTTATGTGGGTAGCTTTTTAAAATGTAAAAATTTGTGCCTTTTCATGGGCTATTCTGGTTACTCGTTTATTTATTTATTTTTTTTCAATTTTCGAATGCAGTTATCAACTATGTGCATTGTGTTCAGAGGTCCTCTGAATTCTTTGCCCTTATCTGAAAAAGTTAGACATGTGATCCACTAACTGAAGAGGAAGTATACCGTTCTTTTTCTTATTTGACAACAATCCAAACAATCAGAACATTGTAATTATCAATGTCTACTTGAGCCAATGACAGATGTAGTAACCATGTGATCTACTCTGCTTCCAAATATTATTAATAAAATAGTTTACTTAGATGACAGTTCTTTCTGACTGCACATCAAACCATTCTGTGCATTAGTGTTCAATGTCCTTAGAATATCCTTCAGTGTGTAATGGCTGACGACACCATCTCTGTGTTGATTTATTCTTTTTTTGTGTGTTTGTGTGCATGCACTGTCAGTATTATTCTATGGCCTTACCCTTTTTTGATTTGCTAATAATAATAAGTTACATGAACATATTCATTAAGAATACTGAGAACATACTGCATAACATGCATCAAAATGTTATTCTTCTTTTGGTTCACTTGCTGTAAACTCTTGGAGAAAGTTCTTATTGTTCGCCCCCTTCTAGACTAGTCTTGTTCCAGAACTTGAGTTTTACATGCATATCCGTGTTACAGATCTGGCTTATTTCACAGCAGACTGTTGGTGCCTTGCCTCTCAAGCATATGCACTCTGACTTAAAAGGAAACTTCTAATTAGTCATCTATTATAACATGCTTGTTAGGGAGGCAGTGGGGCATTGGTAATCCCCCCCCCCCCCCCCAATCAATGGGGCCCCAGAAGCCACACGAAACATCAAATAAAAATAAAATAACATTAATGAACTGCATAATTTCCAATACCTGATAGGCAAGTGACAGCCAACACAAACAGGGATATGTCCCGCTGCAGGTAAGGCTGCAGGGTTCATTGCAGCATCTCCTCTCTTGCCTCTGGTAGCACCAACACCAGTTGGAACTGGAGGTGCTGAGGATTGTGCAGTAGACCTAGGCACTTGGGGCTGTGCTGGAGGAAGAGCCCATGGTTTGGCAGTGGTAGCCCTAGCCACTGGGACTTGAGTTGGTTGGTAACTGGGTGTAGCTTTTGGCCCTAGCATTAAACAATATCAAAAATGTGATTGCATGTGCGCAAAACAGAATGATGTTATGATACTGTTTAAACCATGGCTGCCAACTTTTATCATTGACAGTCTGCATCCAATAATGAGCTGACAGTCTAGTGTAGGACTGTTAGTGTTAGCACATCTAATAGCTGCCTTACATATTTTTACTTTGTATATTACTGTTATGATACTGTTTAAACCATGGCTGCCAACTTTTATCATTGACAGTCTGCATCCAATAATGAGCTGACAGTCTAGTGTAGGACTGTTAGTGTTAGCACATCTAATAGCTGCCTTACATATTTTTACTTTGTATATTACTGTTATGATACTGTTTAAACCATGGCTGCCAACTTTTATCATTGACAGTCTGCATCCAATAATGAGCTGACAGTCTAGTGTAGGACTGTTAGTGTTAGCACATCTAATAGCTGCCTTACATATTTTTACTTTGTATATTACTGTTATGATACTGTTTAAACCATGGCTGCCAACTTTTATCATTGACAGTCTGCATCCAATAATGAGCTGACAGTCTAGTGTAGGACTGTTAGTGTTAGCACATCTAATAGCTGCCTTACATATTTTTACTTTGTATATTACTGTTATGATACTGTTTAAACCATGGCTGCCAACTTTTATCATTGACAGTCTGCATCCAATAATGAGCTGACAGTCTAGTGTAGGACTGTTAGTGTTAGCACATCTAATAGCTGCCTTACATATTTTTACTTTGTATATTACTGTTATGAAACTGTTTAAACCATGGCTGCCAACTTTTATCATTGACAGTCTGCACCCAATAATGAGCTGAATGTCTAGTGTAGGACTGTTGGTGTTAGCACATCTAATAGCTGCCTTAAAAATTTTTACTTTGTATATTACTGACAACTAATTTAAAAATCAACATCATAGTACACAGGGCTTACCCAGGCTCTGTCTCCCCCAGAACATGTCTTAAGGTGTAGATGCTAATTATTCACTGATTATAAACATTGTTTTCTTCCTCTCATACATCCTTCCTTGCTGGAACCACTAATAATTCCTCATTCACTCATTCTCTACATACAGGACACTGCAAGCTCAACTACCACATGCATAAAATAAAGATTGTACAGTCCCCCCAGTGTGCCTGTCAAACAGGACCCCAAACACCTCAGCACATTCTGCAGACCTGCCCACTCTACCTGCAACTTCGAAAAGACACCTGGCCTCCAGAGCAGAGTGTGCAGAGCAAGCTATAGGGAACTATGCAGGACTTGCAGCTGACATGCGAATTGATAGAGGCAACCCACCTGATGGTCTGATCTAAGCATACGAAACCAAACGCAAAGAAGAAGATTCACACATTCTTACACACATTTTTTCATCTAATCTCTGTCTTCTGCCAACATTCGTTCATATATAGTCATTAAAATATTTCCCTTGTCCAGTATGAGTATTCCAGTAGCTATTGTTTTTGTAGCTAGCAAATCCACTCTTTCATTCCCTAATTGTCAGGGTCTGGTGTGGGTACGAGATGTGCAAGTATGATGATGATGAATGAAGGACTCAATACTTGTTTGACCCTAGAATGACTGCATATTCAGAGCCAAAGAGACTCCGACAAGGAACCCATGGTGGGTGAATTCTCCAGAGTCCATGAGTCTCTGATGGACTTGGAGTGAATGAGATTACTTGACAAAACTGACAAGGAGAGTTTTGGAGAGGATTTCGAATGACTGTTAGACGAAAGTGATGTTTTGTTTAGATTGATTTAGGACTGATTCATGGCAACTGTTTGATGAGACTAGTGTGTCATTTTGACCATGGACATTTCTGTGTTAGATGTTTGCCTTAGACACATCGGGCATATTGGAAGAGCATCTTATATTTTTACAGACCAATTGGTACTAGGTGGGTAATGTGGTCAGCATTACGCCAGCCCTCTTTGCTTCCCCAGGACATACATCCTGATAAACATTTTAGGCTGGGTCGACCTGCGACGCCCCATACCATGATAAAAATCCATGCAGCCAGCAGTGGGTTTCAATCGCGGTACATTAGAGTTACGAGTCAGACTTGCAACGCCTAAGCCACAGACGCCTCAACTCACCTCTGTATTCTAGTGAAATATCAGAAACAATTAGAGAAAGTTTGAAGTTTGAACAACAGATCAACCTCATGGCACACGGGTAAGAAACAATTAGAGGAAGTTTGTAGTTTGAACAACGGATCAACCTCATGGCACACGGGTAAGAAACAATTAGAGGCAGTTTGAAGTTTGAACAACGGATCAACCTCATGGCACACGGGTAAGAAACAATTAGAGACAGTTTGAAGTTTGAACAACCGATCAACCTCATGGCACATGGGTAAGAAACAATTAGAGACAGTTTAAAGTTTGAACAACGGATCAACCTCATGGCACATGGGTAAGAAACAATTAGAGGCAGTTTGAAGTTTTAACAACAGATCAACCTCATGGCACACGGGTAAGAAACAATTAGAGGCAGTTTGAAGTTTGAACAACGGATCAACCTCATGGCACACGGGTAAGAAACAATTAGAGACAGTTTGAAGTTTGAACAACCGATCAACCTCATGGCACATGGGTAAGAAACAATTAGAAACAGTTTAAAGTTTGAACAACGGATCAACCTCATGGCACATGGGTAAGAAACAATTAGAGGCAGTTTGAAGTTTGAACAACGGATCAACCTCATGGCATACGGGTAAGAAACAATTAGAGGCAGTTTGAAGTTTGAACAACGGATCAACCTCATGGCACACGGGTAAGAAACAATTAGAGACGCACAAGAACTCACTGTAAACTGAAGCTGGCACTGGTGCTGGTTCTTCACTGGGTGAATTTAAAAACAAAACACCACATTTATTATTCCAAGTTAACTGTGTAAAAATAGCAAGAAACAACAGTTAAACAAACAAATGATAACTATAATATCTATATGTACATGCATATGCCTGAACTAGTCATAATTATGATGACTGGCATAGGCATTCATGCATCTCCACAGATTTTGCTCCCTTGAATCTGTTCCATCTATAATATCTCTTTGTGCCAGAGTCGCAATCCCCCTGTCATCATTTCTCTCAGTCTGCCTCTGACTTTTCCACCTCATCACATGACCAAAGAACAGTGCTTGTCTTTTCCTTATAGCTGGATACATTGATCTTTTTTCCATTAGCTTCTTTCAAGCAATCCTCGTTAGTTATTCTGGCAGCCCAAGGGATTCTCAACTATTGTCTGAGGAACCACATCTCTGTCACCTCCAAGTTCTTTATAATTTCTGCATACACATCCAATATTTACTACCATGCAGCAACATAGGTTCTACATAACATTTTAGTACTGTCTTTTGAACATCCAAAAAGATGGACCTGTTGCACAAGATGTTCTTAATTCTGTGAAATGCAGCCTTAGCCTGGACTATTCTGCTCCTAATTTCTGACACACATATTCCATCTTATGTTATTATTGTACCCTGGTATTTGAATATGTCGACTTGGATTAATTTTTTACCTTTTGTCCTAATATCACACTGTGGTGGTATTCTTTTCTCCTCCATTTTCTTTATTTAAAAAAAAAACAGACATTTTTTGTGCACTCTCCCTCACTAAATTTATTGTAGATTATTTGCATTTTCAGCTATCAATACTGTGTCATCTGCATAATGTATGTTGTTAATATTATAACCTAGCACTCTAATTCCTTGTTTTTTTTTTTCTCCTCTTCACTTATGAACAGGCAGACAGATTGGCTGGATCTGTGGTCAAGGCCCTGTGGGAACAAACAATGGAATCAGTAGAGAAACAAGATTATTATGGCCTAGAGAAAATGAGGCACCTGGGTGTAACCAGAGGGTCTGGCTGGCTCACTACACTCAGAGGAAAGGCAAGACAGACATATAACCAGATTCTGACCGGTATCATCAGTATTGCAACTCTGAGCTGGCTGCTGAAAATGACGGAGCATGCATGGAAATGTCCTGAGAGCTGTGATGTCAATTTTTGACTTATCTCAACTCTAATTCCTTGTCTATCTTTGATCTTTCTCAATATCATCTCACTATAGACAGAGAAAAGGTCAGGTGACAAAACACAACTCTGTCTTACTCCTTGTTTTCATCTGTTTATATGTGCCCATTCTACGTGGGGAAGTCAGTAAATCACAAGTGGTTGTGGGATGGCAGAAAAATGTAGCTGGTGATTTCTAAAGGTGTCATTAGGTGACAGCAACATTAAATTTTAAATCTACATTTGTTAGATGGTGCTAGGTGTTGATGCACATTCACAACACAGAAACAAAATTGCCAAATGCCCACTGTACTTATAGAGTGTACCCTTAAAGAACAAAGTGCTTTTTTTTTTTTTTCGAGGGAGGTGGGGGAGGGTGGCATAAGGGATGCCTGCGAAGGACATTAATAAAGAAATGCTTCCTATTTATGCTGACAAATGTTTATTCCCTAAAGTGGTGCATAGCTGGGTAAAAAACATTTTCTCAAGGATGCTCTAAAAATGTTGATGATGTTCAGTCTGTTTATCCTGTTGAAATTGCAAACAGATGCAGCCAGGTAGCTGGTGGAAGACATTATTAGAGGTGACAGTTGAGTAATGGTTGACTCTGTAGCAACAGCAATAGGGTGCTCACATGGCTTGGCGTACAACATAATGCACGATCAATTGAAATTTAAGAAAGTGTTTTCAAGGTGGGTACCCAGACAAGCGACGGATGAACGCAAAATGAACTGATCAGGACTGTCCTTGCATCTCTGTTGATACGCAGATGAAGGAGACAACATGCTAAACAGGATTATTACTGGGGACAAATCATGGGTGCATTACTGCCAACCCGAATCAAAGTGTACTTCACTGCAATGGAAACAATCTTCTATGACTTGTGTTATAAAATTCAGGGTTACGTCATCAGCAAGGAAGGTGGTGCTGACAGTGTTCTAGGACTGTCAAGGAGTGCTTTTAAGCTATTTAAAAATTTTTTTTAAAGTGACAATGTGAATGCTGATTCATACTGTAAAGTTCTATTGATGCTTCCTGATGCAATTTGAAGAAAACCTCCAGGCCTGCTGACTAAAGGAATACTGCTCCTTCAAGACAATGCCAGAGCAAGTACAGCTTGGTTAACTCAGAAGGAAATTAACCATTTAGAGTTGGAACCTCTGGAACATCCACCTTAAAGGCCTGACTTAGCCCCTAACGATTGCCACCTTTTTGGTCCACTAAAAACCCATCTTGTTGGGAGACATTTCACGAATGATGCAGAAGTTGAATGCGAAGTGAAAATGTGGTTTAGAAAACAGAGCACGCAATTCTATACAGCGGGTTTGGGAGGACTGATAAAACGGTGGGACAAGTGCATCAATGTTGGTGGAAATTATGTTGATAACTAAAGGGAAAGTATGTGTGTAAAAATAAACAGTTTTCAGGTTGTTTTCCTCGTTAGTTGTTTTTTTAAACAACCATTTGTGACTTACTTATTGACATCCCCTTGTATTTCCCATTTTAAAAACTGCCATTTACTTTCAGTTAATTTTCTTCATTATTCTGAGGATTTTTCACATCAGTGTTAATATCTGTCAACATTTTAATAAATATAAATTAATCAAATGTAAGTTAATAATGTAGAAGTAAATAAATGAAAGCTAAAAAGTTGTCATTAATAAAGTGGAAGGTAAAAATGTAAAAGTAAATAAATGCAAGCTAATAAGGTGGAATTTAATAAAGTAGACACTAATAGAGTTGAAGTTAATAAAGTAGACATTATTAAAGTGAAAGTTAATAAAGTGGACATTAATAAGGTAGAAGTTAATAAATAGAAAGTAATAAGGTGGAAGTCAATAATATAGACACTAATCACATGAAAGTTAATGAGGTGGAAGTTAATAAGGTGGAAGTTAATATGTGGAAATTAATAAAATATACATTAATAAAGTAGAAGTAATTAATGTAGAAGTAAATAAATGGAAAGTATGAGGGTGGAAGTTAATTGACACCAATAAAGCGGAAGTTAATAATATAGACTTAAATAAATGAAAACTAATAAGGCAGAAGGTAATAAAGTAGACACTAATAAAGTGTAAGTGAATAAAGTAGACATAAAAAATAGAAGTTAATAATGTAGAAGTAAATTAATGGAAAGTAATAAGGTGGAAGCCAATAAAGTAGACAATAATAAAGTAGATGGTAATAAGGTGGAAGTTGATAAAGTGAAGGTTAATATGTGGAAGTTGATAAAGTGAATAGCTAAAAAAGAAGAAGTTTAAAAAGTGGAAGTATAGATCAATTTCTATATTCCCACCTGTTCAGCTGTTGTTGAATCATTTTAAAGGATCTAGAGTGAACTGGCATCACATCTTCTACCTTCTGTGAATTTCCCACCTCATCTTGGACCAAACGAAATGTTTCTGAAGGTACATAGTTTTTCCTACCATGCTCATCATATGTGTTCTCACATGCAGGTGGTGAATTTTGCTTGCTGAAAGAAACAGGTCAACTAGGCTAACTCATACATGCAGAGAGACCACACACAAAAATATACCATATTTTTCAGTGTAAAAGATGATATGCTTTCCCACATTTTTGTGTGTTTTAAAGTTTAAAACTGGGGGCTGTCTTAGATATTGAATCCCCCATTTGGGTTTTAGAGCCCCATTGTGGAAAAAACAAGAATAGACACAGACTTCCATCCAAGCATGTTATAATTTGGTACTTCCTTTCAAGTTGGAGCATATCTGCCTGAGAGGCAAGGAAGCAACAATTTGCATACAAATAAGTCAGATGTGTAAAATGGATCTGCACACAACATTCAGGTTCTGGAATAAGATTAAAGTCCAGAGGTCGATGAACAAACAGAATCTTTCGCCAGAGTTTACAGCTGTTGAATATGAAGAAGAAGAAACAGAAGAAGAAGAATACATGGTATGTGTCCAAATGCAAAAATTTACTTCTGAATTTTTGGTTAAAAAATAGAGATCGTCTTCTGTACGTGGGGCATCTCATACACATAAAAATATGGTATACTGATACATGTAAGCAGTTAAGTTTTCTTTTGGAAAGGGGTAAAAAATATATTGATACATGCAGACAGTTAAGGATTGCTAGCTGAAAGAAACAGCTCAGGCAGATTTAATTATGCACGCAGGCATGTACGTTAGTTTTGCTGAAGGAGGTCATACATATTTGTCTATTTAAATGAGGTAAAATATTTATTTTTAACTACAAGAGGTCAAAGGAGCTGCAGTAGCATAGTGGCTTGATGCTGGCTTGTAACCTGAAGGTCTTAGGTTTAAATCTGCACTGAATCTGGATTTCACCCCAAATTTGACTTTGCCTTCTAGATTGATCCAAGCTGAAATGGGTGTCAGGTTATATAATGGAAAGTAGGGAAGGATGTAAAAGAGACACCCCAGTAGTCTGTATGTGACTCATCCTTGCATAGCCAACTTTTGCAGACAGGGTCAAAGTGCTGCAAGCTAGGTCATACCTCAAAGTAGCCATAGACTAAAACAACCGTCTTCATGAACCTCTGGAAACAATTAAGGGTCACAGGTTGATTAGAGTTAAGTCTTAGATGGCAGAAACAGAAGACACAACTAAAGATGTGTGTATGCTGTAAACAACTGGGAAAGAAAAGGAATAGGTAAAAGTATCACAGCAAAAAGAAGACAAACATAGGGTTTAAATCACATTTGACCAGAAATGTAAGGATTGGTGAGCAGGCACGGCAGAATCAGAAATTCAACAAATGATTCATGATAACTTCTGCCTAGTGATATGATTATCCATATAGATGGCTCTGCACTGAGAAGCAGAAGAAGTGCAAGGGGAGTTCATTGCAAAAGTGAATGGACAATGCTTAGTGCAACAAAGTCTAGCATATGAAACAACTAATCTTGTTTGAGAATGGAGTTGGAGGCAATCACAGTAGATTTCCGCTGGTTTGAAAAACAGATGCACACATATATGATACCGGTTCTTGGCTCGGCTCGTCTCCTATAACCAAAGACAATTTACATTTGCGCAAAACAAAGATCCAGTAAGCTTTGTTCTGACACACATGAGAAATTATGTAGATTTTGTGGATCGGCAGGAGTGCTGTCTATATTTAAACAGGTGAGCTATTTTTGGAAAATCTAAAATGAGGGAGCTACATTTACAAACCAAACAATGATTATTCTCATTGACTGTTCCCCCCCCCCCCCCCCCCCCCCCCCCCCCATGTGGGTTCCAGGGCCCTGCTGTGGGTTAAACAAGAATAGCCCCACTGCCTCCCTAACAGGCATGTTATAAGGGATGACTAACTAAGGGCTTCCCTTGAAGTCAGGGTACATCTTCCTGAGAGGCAAGGAACCAACAGTCTGTATACAAATAAGTCAGAAATGTAAAATGGATGTGCACGTAACACTCAGATTCTGATACAAGACTAAAGTCCAGAGGTGGACAAACAACCAGAACTTTCTGCTGGAGTTTACAGCAACTGAACACGAAGAAGAAGACAATTTACTATACAGTACAGACCAGAATGAAACAATCATTATCAAGTGCCTTGTCAACTATGAGATCAGGGGTGAATGTAGTCACTCGAGTATCAAAAAATGAATGAATTCAGCTTTGCTTAGAAAGATGCTCATTGAAAAAGGCTTTAGTTAAAATGTTCCACTTTTGCTGTGCATGTTATTTTTATCCTTCCTTCCTTGTGTTCCATTTAATGGTTAATTCTGTTCACGTTTACTGATTTATATTTGCTTATATTTTTTTTAAGAAGAAAAAAGCTTTCAAAGTAGATAAATGATTTTTTTTTAAATTGTATTTATTAGTGACCTTTGTAATATGGTTGTTTTTTTTAAAGGATTTTTCAGTGATTTTCCATTGGTTCATGATAGAAAGGGTTAAAGGGGATGTATTGGGCTGAACATTACTTCCATCGATGTCATGCAACAATAACTTAAGAATTGAATACCATTTTAACTCATATCATGCAACAATAATTAACTGAATATTGCCTCCAATCTAATCATGCACTCAATAACTAATTAAATGAATATTACCTCCGCTCATATCACCCACTCAGTAACTAATTAACTAAATTCATATCATTCATATCAAAAGTAACTAACCAATTTGTATTACTTTTATTCATATTATACATCCTGTAACTTGACATTACCTGGCAGCATCATCATTTTCAATGAGAAATTTTGATTGTCCTTGCAGCTGATTGTTGATGTTCTCATTGGAGTAAAGTCCCATGGGGTTGTTGTAGCGCTGGGAGATGATAGCTTTGACTGTGCCGGGTTTACTTCCAGGTCCAATGGGTTGGGCAGCCAGTGGGTGGGCAGGACTTTCATTGCCTAGTGATGAAATAAAAGAAATGTGCAAAACCATTCACAAGGTACTTGTGTGTGTGTCTGTGTGTGCGTGTGCATACGTGCGCGCGTGTGCATACGTGCGCGCGCGTGTGTTTGCATGAATGTGTAAAAAAAAGACAGACAGACAGGTTATGATGTCTACTTCTAGCAGAAGTTACAGAATCAGTTTTTATAAAAATGAGAGGATAGTTTGGCGTGAGTTAGTTGGGGAACTTGCCCCAGTTGGAGTTAAGTTAGCTGCGCATCCTTTACAGCAGTGGTTCTCAACCACCCTTATGTTATGATCCCTTAAAACAGTTTCTCATGTTGTGGTGACCCCCAAATATTAAATTATGTTCATTGCTACTTCATATCTTCAGTGAATATGTGTTTTTTTAGGATCTTACGCTTCTCCTGTGAAAGGGTCGTTCGACACCCAAAGTGTTGCGACCCACAGGGTGAGAACTGCTGCTTTATATGATATTGCATTTATTAGCTGTTTCTAGTTTCACTAGGCAATTTTATGTTTAGTAGTTTGCCATTGCCTCTGAACCATCGGCTCTCAATAGTTCTATTAAAATGAACAAATAGTGGTCTGCTGCCAAATCTCCTGCAGCTGGAATCAAACTGGGTACCTCTGAATTAAGATATGCATTCACAAACCCTTTGCCACAGATGCCAACAATAAAGAATAAACAAAGTAAATTCTGTTCAAGGAAGACAGTGTCCTCTGATACAGAGATGTGGTTAACCATACATGATGAACCTTTCAAAAGAGAAATGGAGCAGCAAAACGAGGAAGAGGAGAATGAAAAGAAAAAGCAGACGAAGAATCTCTTAAGCTAAAACACACCATAAATTGGCCAATATACTTGGTTGCTGTGTGTTTCTAATAAAATGATTCATTTTTACACTTCACATCTGTTGACTGAATTCCGTAGCATGCACCTGATGAGATAAAGTAATATGTGTATGTCAATATATTATGCAAAGGATCCTTTTTCATGCCTTCAGGTGTAATAGGCATATAGGGCTAGACCTGTATTTTATAGACCAGTTGGCACTTTGTGGGTGATGTGGTCAGCACCACGCCGGCCATGTTTACTTCTCAGCACTTTACCTGGTACAGATTTAAGACTGTCGATCTGAGAGCCAAGGTCATTTGTGAAAAAAGTCCAGCTCCATCAGGACAAACCCACGACCCTTGGATCTGCACATTTTACTAGATCTGAGAAAGAAGAATGCGTTTTTGTGTGTGTGTGTGTGTTTCATCAGCAACCCACGTATGTCTTTATTGTCGTTATCATGTCCCGTGCGGGTAAGCGTAGGCTATCATGTTTTACCATCTCATGCAATCACCAGAATCCTTGTCTCGCCTCCATCCATTTGGTCAGGCCATCCAGATATTTATCTCTTTGCCTTCCTCTTGATGTCTTTCATCAATCTTGCCAGCTGTTACCAAGTTCTGGAGTCGATTACTTTTTATAACATGTCCAAACAACATTCTTCTTCTTCTTCTTCGCGTTCACCAGCTGTAAACTCTGGCGGAAGGTTCTGGTTGCTCGTCCACTACTGAGCTGCAGTCCTGCTCCAGAAGCTGAGTGTTGCGTGTGCATCAGTTTTACAGATCTCATTCTCTTGAATACAGACTGTTGGTTCCTTGCCTCTCCGGCAGATGCACTCTGACTTCAAAGGAAGCTCCCCAATTAGTCGACTCTTACGACATGCTTTTGGGGAGGCAGTGGGTCTATTCTTGTTTTCCCCACAATGGGGCCCCGAAAACCACACGGGGGCAAACAACATTGACTGCCTAAATCTATTTATTCTAAGAACTTTACGAGTTTCATCTGTCTCAATGAGGACTTCTTCCTTTGCTTTCTCATTCTTCCATGATAATCTATGCTTTCTTCTCACAATCTACATCTCTGCCACGAGTAAATGTTTTTCAGTTTTGTATACTTATTGTCCATGTGTGTCTTTATACAAATGGCTAAAAGTGCATACACAGCCAAACAGAATTATTTACAGACAAGGAAAAGAAGGATCTAGACACATAACTGATTACCTCCATCCTCATCAATAAGACTGGCCAGTTTTCTAAAAGATTTAGATTGGAGCTGTGTGTCTTTATACAAATGGCTAAAAGTGCCTACACAGCCAAACAGAATTATTTACAGACAAGGAAAAGAAGGATCTAGACACATAACTGATTACCTCCATCCTCATCAATAAGACTGGCCAGTTTTCTAAAAGATTTAGATTGGAGCTGTGTGTCTTTATACAAATGGCTAAAAGTGCATACACAGCCAAACAGAATTATTTACAGACAAGGAAAAGAAGGATCTAGACACATAACTGATTACCTCCATCCTCATCAATGAGACTGGCCAGTTTTCTAAAAGATCTAGACTGGTGCTGGGCCGGATTAGGTGCATCTTGTCTCTCAGTGTATCTCTCCCCAGTATCAGGAAATCCCAGCGGCTGGTTTGGTTCGCTAAGATCATGAATGACAAAACAATAAAAATGATGCAAACTTTTTACCAGAGAAAAAGTATTTTAACTCTTTCAGTCCCAAGTAATATTTGATGTTTCATAGGTTCTTTGCACACGGATACAAACCCTCATCTGGTAAATGCATACTAAGAAAACTGGCTTCTCCAGCTGTAACGTTAACAGTGTTTTTAATTACTTTGAAAGTATCATTTGTTTTTTCAACTTGATGTAGTGCCCCTCCCCCCCCACCCCTTTTCAGCAATTGTGAAACCTTCTAGCACTGAAACAATAACAGTTAAATTCATGTCTGTAAAATAACATGTAAGCTAAAATATAACCAATATATATAACTATATATATATATATATATATATATATATATATATATATATATATATATATATATATATATATATATATATATATATATATATATATATATATATATATATATATATATATGTAATAAAGGTATATATTTTAAATAAATGTAATTGCTTTTTCTAATTCACTAAAATGTAAAACAATAAACACAAATGTCTTTCATTAAAACACTAAAAGTTGCCCCCAATTCTCAGTGTTCTTCAAGTCACATGATAGGAAAAAAATTTAAAAAATATCTTGACAATGGGAATGATCAGTGGTTAGAAGAGGCAGAGGCAGACCTAGAGAAATAATGCTGAAAGGGCTAAAAATGTGGCAAGGAGGGCCAGAGAACAAATCTAGAACACCAAAGACCAAGATTTGTGAAGAGACATCAATGCTAATGCCATTTGGCAAGGCACACAAAGATGATTATGAATATGCACATCCACAAATAAACTTCTGGCTACCAGGTTTCTATGCTTCTGTCACTGCCTTTCAGCCAACACATCTCACTTTAGCAAACTCTTAATAAGTCTCTTTTCTTTGATTTGCTTATTAGGTCTCTTTTTTTATGATTTGCTTGTTAGGGCTCCTTTTTATGATTTGCTTGATCTTCTCTAGCCAAAAAAATGCTAGAGTTGGTTCTGCAACGTCCTGTAAAGGATGTGCAACTAACTTAACTCCTTTTAATGAGAGTAATCAGAGGGTAATCTTCATGACTTAATTTCTTTCAGAACATCTTCATTACATTTGCTATCATTCCTCTATCAAATGAAATCTCTGCTGCTACCAACAAAATTGTTCATTAATCAGAAGACTGTCCATGATTCACTTCTGTACATCAGGAAGCAGAAGATTAGGGATGCACAAATTAGAAGAACTAAAAATGTGTTTAGAATAAACATTTTCTTAATCATTAATCTAAAGTGTGGTTTGTATGAAATATTCAAAACAATGGAAGTAATGATGTTCAAATATTAGAAGTGTAAGCTTACAGTTAAGAGAAAGATATTTATCTAGACTAAATGCTGAAGATTTTACATTTTAAAATCATGCTCACCTCAAAGATAATCCTGAAGTTTGCTGGGAAAGGTTCGATTCATAATTAGATCGGGCTGGTGCTTGACTTCCAAACGGACGAGGAGGGTTGTTGAAATTCTGTAAGTGTAATAAATCAGCATAAATCCTACCTTTGACTTAATAAAACTGATGAATATTAAATTATATACAACAATAAGAAAAAGACAAATACTGTTCTTTGGCCACATAATGAGAAGAGAGACATTGGAGAACATCGTGACAGCTGGAAAGATCAGCTGAAAAAGGGGTAGAGGCAGACCAAGAGAGATTATGCTTGATGGGTTGAAATGATGGCATGGAGGGATATCATCAAGAGAGCTGTTACAGGCAACCAGGGATAGTGATCTGTGGAGACGCATGAGCCCCTACACCAGTGAGATGAATTTTAAAAAAGGCCAAGATATAAGAAAGATGTCAGGAGAGCTGCATGAATCATTATTTATGAGACAAAGACAATATACGGAGCTCATCATGAGAAGAAATGGATGGAGAATCACTGAGCAGGCACTGAAATGGGAAACAAATGGCCTGAGGAAGTAAGAATGTGAGAAAGTAAGAGAAATACAAATGTTGAGAGAGTCCAAAGGTACTGGACTGGATTCCATCCATGATTCAAAAGGACTGCACCGGATAGAATGGAATGGAGAACTAGAATGTGAGCCCTAAGTGATGTATAATTGCATAAAGAATGATGATGAGGAAATTCTACTTTCATAAGTCAGCACAAATACCACCATATCTATGTAAGTTGAAGGTGAATGATGGAAAATGTATGGAGTTCTTGAATGGTTAAAAAATATTGTGTATCATTTATTTGTTCACTTGTTTTCTGACTTATTCTTGTTAATGGAACAAATCTGATTCAATAAAAAAGAATGTACAAATTAAAATTAAAAGTTCTTATATACAATAAATACAAATATAGAGAAAAGTTTTAAGTATATTGTAAGTAAAATTCCATTTCTGGTGTTCACACTCATTTCAGAGCTTCACCTGGCTAGACACACAAGTGAATTTCTCTCACAGATACTTCATTTAACTAATTCTGTGTATTCTTGTTCCTAACTGTAACGACTGTCTATTCCTGTGCTGATGAAGACTTTCTAGCCATAATGCTCTCTTGTTGTTTGACACTATGATGATGTGAAGCTGAACAGGTCTACTTTTTATTTGGTATGATATTTTTTCATAAGTACCCTTTTCGAATGGCAGTTGGTGTTAGCCTCATATTGTATATCCCAAAGGGCACTCAATAATTAATCTAGTCAAAAATATGCCAGCTACTTATCTTTACTTCCCATGACATTTCCTGCTGCACATTTTATGGCTGGGGCGACCTAAGAACCAGGGTCAGCTATTAAAAAAATATGCCCCACTGTGGATATGAACCCAGGACTTTCTGGCTGGCAGGCAAGCATCTAGCCACTGGACTAAAGAGGCTTTCCATTTTTTAAAGAGCTGACATTCAGAAAAAGAGAACCACAAATATTCTGTATGTATACACTGGCTCTACACAGTTTTGTCTTCAATACCTTTGTCATCTTCAACATGACAGTGTAGGATATATGATTCCCCTACACAGTTTTGTCTTCAATACCTTTGTCATCTTCAACATAACAGTTTAGGATATATGATTCCCCTACACAGTTTTGTCTTCAATACCTTTGTCATCTTCAACATGACAGTGTAGGATATTTAATTCCCCTAAACAGTTTTGTCTTCAATACCTTTGTCATCTTCAACATGACAGTTTAGGATATATGATTCCCCTACGCAGTTTTGTCTTCAATACCTTTGTCATCTTCAACATGACAGTGTAGGATATATGATTCCCCTATGAAGTCATTTATTTTAGCTTCCTCTTAATAAAAACACAAAAGATTAAATATGTTGGTCGCTTGAAACGTAACGAAAGTTTCGAGAGACCTTTAATGGATGGGTTTATGCCTGGGAAGAGAGGAAGAGGAAGGCCACAGAGAAGATGGGTGCAGGATGTAGCGGATGATCTCCAGATAGGTGTATCAGATGCGGGACATCTTGCTTGTGATCAAGAAGTTTCCCGGGAAGGTTGTTATGGGAGCAAGGTTTTGCAAAGGACATGCTACTGACTGACTGACTGACTGACTGACTGACGGACTGACTGACTGACTGACTGACTGACTGACTTAACCCTCTGGAGATGACCCGACCGAAATATTGACCCGACACAAAATAGCCAAAAGGACGACTGAGCCGAACAGTCTGCCCTGTTAGGGTTCCTGTGCCCAACAATGGCAAAAAGGACTGTTGCGTTATAGCAACTGAAACATAGCTGGAGGCAGGAAAATGAGTAGAACCATGTGCCAGAAGTCTCTGAAGGACCTCCAAGTGTCTTACTTCCCAAAACATAAGTATTAGAATTTATCCAAGCTTCATCAATCAAAAGATGCACACAGAATGTTTAGGTTAGTTCTGTTTGATCCCAAGTTTTTAAAAAAATGCTTGCATAAATTATGCAAATCAGAATAGTTAATTTGAATAAGTGTTGAGATTTCAGTTTGATTCATTAATATTCTGTTAGCTCATTTAATTTCCTACACGAATATATACTGTTTTTTATATGTTAATGAAACGCTTCATTTTTAATAATTTGTTGTGTATAAACTGTGAGAATCTCCTCCTGAAAGCTTCGTCTTTTGGACAATAAAACTCCAAAAAGGCTCCGTCTCCAGAGAGTTAATATATTAATACGTTTCACAACTAATTAGATTTTAAAGCCCTCATAATTTCGCCACCTCCAAAATGTTGTTGCCCTGTGCAGCTGCATGTGCTTAAATACAATCCTGGCAATATGAACAGAATCTTCTTCTTTGAAGAAGCCTATGATAACTTACCTGACTGGATGAGTAACTCTGAGGTGAGACTGGATGTGACTGAGAAATCCAGTTATTACTGGTGTCACTCTGAGGCTGCCCTATAGCAGTATTACCTCGCCTGTTTGACAAAAAAACAAAATAAGGTAAAATCTAGTGTAGCTCTTGCATTATATTCTCTTACCTTTTTCGGCAGCATGCACTTTCAATGTATAGTCCTGGAATGGGAGTCGCCGTGGCAGAGCGGCTAGACTCTCGTGTGCAGATTTGAAGGTCGTGGGTTCGCTCTCTGGCGGAGTCAGACTTTTTCAAAAATTACCTTGATATCAGGTCGACCCAGCCTTGAATGAGTCACGGGTGTAGTCCTGGGATGTAAAGATGGCCGGCGTGATGCTGACCACATCACGCATCTTGTGCTGATTGGTCTATACAAATATAGGTCTAGCCCTATATGCCGTATACGCCTAAAGGCGTGGAAAAAGCACCTTTACTTTTACGTATAGTCCGGGAACAGTATACATCACATTCTCTTCCATCGCAGAAAGCTGTTACATTTACTTATTATATCCAACTTGTTAGTTTTAATCATTCAACCTGCTAATGTTTTTGTTTTAAATTCCCAGCAAGAGTTCCAGGGTGCCATTTTAAAAGTCGACAGAATAGATTAATTGGTCCACTACCCCTAAACAAGCATGTCATAAAAGGTGATTAATTAGAGAGGTGTTGAAATAGGATTGTATCTGGCCAAAAGGTGCAGATATCACAGCCTTATTGTAAACACAACACAAAATGCCAACCACCCTTATAAGGGTAAAGAAGAAGATGAAGTGATTTAACTTTTTTTAAAACTCAAATATTGGCAAATATAGATCAAAATCTAAATGTTAAATGTATTCATGGGCTGGTGCTGAAGAAGTTATAATGTTCTGTACTTTCAAATATCTGAGGGAACTACTATGTCTTCAATAGTTACTGACACACTCTATGAATCAATAACTGTATGAATCTATAATTCTATGAATCTGTACCTCTATTTATCTATAACTGTAAAAATTTAAAGCTGTATGAATCTATAACTCTATGAATCTATAACTATATGAATCAATAAGTGTATGAATCTATAACTCTATGAATCTGTAACTCTATGAATCTATAACTGTAAAAATTTAAAGCTGTATGAATCTATAACTCTATGAATCTATAACTCTATGAATCTATAACTCTATGAATCTATAACTCTATGAATCTATAACTATATGAATCTATAACTCTATGAATCTATAACTGTATGAATCTATAACTGTGAAATCCATACAAATGTGGAACCCCTCGGGTTGCGGAGAGAAAAAGCCACTTTAGAAATTTATGAAAGATGCGTTAGGAAAAATCGTAACCATCCTAATAGACATCTTGTAGAAAACTGGGAATCCAAACAAAGAATAAAGCACAAATCGGTTTTACACTGTGTTAATGAAATTCAGGACAGATACCACCTCCCAGAAAGACGTCAAGGAATTCAGAATGTTGCAAAAAACCTACCACCACATGCTCGCTTTAAAGCTCCAGAAGTCCAAACTAAATTGGTAGGCGAGGAAACCAAACAGTCCGACCCAATCGCTCTTATGAACTCATCACTAAAGACCGTTGATTCTTACCCCCAAGAATGGATACATGTCTATACTGATGGATCAGCATTTAAAGCTAACATCAAAGCAGGTTACGGAATCTACATAGGTTATCCCGATGGATCTGTTGAAGAGATTTTTGATGCATGCGGGGAATTCTGTTCAAACTATGAAACTGAAATAATTGCACTGGAAACAGCAGTATACCACCTAAAGACTGTAATGGATGTTTACCCCTCAAAGGTCCAAAATATTGTCATCTTCACAGATTCAATGTCTGCCCTTCAAGCTCTGGAGGGCAATGAACGCTGCAGAACTGACATAGCCAAGATAATCCTGGATGCCGATCAGCTTATTACCTCATACAACATCAGAATAGTGATGCAGTGGATTCCAGGTCACTCCGGCACACCAGGTAATGACAGAGCTGACAGATTGGCAAAGAAAGGAGCAACACAAGAACAACCACCTACAGCGACAACCCTCCAGACAGCAAAAACACTGATAAGAGCTATAAACAAAGAGACTTGGTTGAACAGATGGGCCATGGGAGACACTGGAAGAGAGGTTTATAGACATATGTCTGGCCCTGATCCTAATGACAGCATTAACCATCTAACAAGAAGGGACCAGGCCACCATCTTCAGACTTAGAACGCAACATACTCCACTCAATGGACACCTAAACAGAATACAGCCACAACACTCCCCAGAGTGCCAGCTATGTAACTACCCCTACGAAACTGTTGAACACCATCTCTTTGAGTGCCCAAAACTCAGTGAGACAAGAAGAACGCTACTCCCTCCGAGACCAGACATGTGGAACACCTTGTACGGAGGAAAAGAACAGCTTGTGAAAACATGCAAATTCCACTACATGGCATTGGGCCAAAGGGCGAAAGCTCATGCGCCGCTGGATCGATAACAACAACAACAACAATCTATAACTGTATGAATTTATAACTGTATGAATCTATAACTATATGAATCTATAACTCTTTGAATCTTTAACTCTAATAATCCATCAATCTATGAATCTATAACTCTATGAATCTTTAAACCAGTTGAGGAGAACCTCTATAAAAATGGCATTGGGCTGTTTCAGACAATTCAGCAGCAAAGGTATTATGTATGTAAGTTGTAACCCACCAGGACATTACACAAAGCGATAAACACCCGGTGACACTAAGTGCCACCTTGTAGATGAGGAGCACCCGTGGAGAGGTCCCAGAAACCCTGTTCAGCCGGCTATATTTAGGGCCCCCAGCAAAAGCCAGGGTGGGGCTTCAAATAACGATAAATTGCATCCCACAAGGGTACGACTATTACAGGAGCAGTACAGGATCTACAACAGTATTGTCTTGTACATTTATTACTCTAAAGAAACAAGAGTCTGAATTAAAATGAACAAATCTAAAAATTGATATAAAGTTAACACAATATACGTGCATCATAAGGGCCAATAAATTGCAATAGTTAAGGCTTTTATTAGCAAGACCGCCCCAACATGAGAGACAATTATTTTTTGTTTTAAAGCCCCAATCGGTCTGTTGTCGGGGACCCTAAAAAATAACCTACCAGCTGAAGGAGATTTCTGGGACTTGCGCCCGGGGGGGGGGGGGGATTCTCATCCAAATGGTGGCACTTTGTGTCACCGGGTGTTTATCGCTTGTTATGTGGTCATGGTGAGGTTGAACGGCAGTCAGTCAGTCAGTCACAGTTAAGGCATAAAGAGAGAAAGGCAGATAACAAGGAGACAAAACTTCATAAAACATCTAGCAGATTTTAGAGTTCACTTTAACATGACCAAGACCCTCTAAAAATAATATCTAGCGGACAAGTAACCCTCTAAATACATCTGGTACACAGATAACTCTACAAATACAACATTCATCACTCACAGGACACTAAATACAATATTCAACACACACACACACGTGTACACACACACACACACATAAGACTACATACAACATCTATTATGCACACATGACTAAAAATGCGACATCTAGTACACACGTGACTCTAAACACAATATCGAGCACACGCACAACTCTCCAAAAAAAAAAAAAAAAACATCTATCCCACGCATGACTCTTCAGATATGAGATCTACCTGCAGTTGTCTTTCCAGTCAGATCAAACATCACACAACCCACCAGATTACATCCAGCAAACAAATTATCTCCTGTCGTAATCTAGTGTATGTCATCATCATCATCATGTGCCCTGCCTACTGGCGTAGGCGCTCATGCGTCTCCACAGATTACGATCCCTGGTTGCCTGGAACAGCTCTCTTAATGATTTTCCTCTATGCCACCGTTTCAGCCCATCCGGTATTGTCTTTCTTGGTTTGCCTCTACCCCTCTTTCCACTGATCCTTCCAGTTGTCACGATGTTCTCCAGTGTCTCTCTTCTTATTATGTGGCCAAAGAACAGTGTTTGTCTCTTTCTTATTGCTGTATATAGAGATCTACTTTCATTAGCTTCTTTCAAGCAATCGTTGTTAGTTACTCTGCCCGTCCTAGGTATTTGTAATATTCGTCTCAGAAACCATATCTCTGTTGCTTCCAAATTCTCCTACTAGTGTATGTACTTCACAAAAAATAACAACAGTAAATCGCACTAACTCAAATCTTACTATCACTCTTTTTACCTAAAAAAATATTATTATAACCAACTCTGTACCTCTCTAACAGTTAAAAACAAAATCTCACAAACTATTTTTGTTTTTGTTTTTTCATCGCCTCAAACTTCTGCTGCTATCTGCCATCTTCAACTTTAATCTGACATTAGATTACCTGTCCTCTACATATCTCCCATCTCTCGGTTTCTTTCTTTGATAAGGTGTTTATCCCTCTTGGGCCCCGGGCTCAGTAAAGAACGGGACCTTGTCTACACTTATACCACTCCCGGGAATAATTCTTAAATTTTGGTCTGTGCATTGAATAACATAAGGAGTACTAATAACAGTTGTGGTAGTAAAGTAGTAGTAGTAGTAGTAGTAGTAGTAGTAGTAGTAGTAGTAGTAGTAGTAGTAGTAGTAGTAGTAGTAGTAGTAGTAGTAGTAGTAGTAGTAGTAGTAGTAGTAGTAGTAGTAGTAGTAGTAGCAACAGCAGCAGTATTAGCAGTAGTAGTAGCAGTAAGATAACTTTTATACATGGTGGCTGGGGAGCTTAGCTTCCTCACAGATTTATTAGGGGGAACGGGATTGGGGAGCGGGGTCGGAGGGCGACGGGAAGGGGGGGGGATTGGGGGTGGAATTGGAGGGTGGCTGGATTTGGGGGGGGGGGGTCCTCAGTTTCTCCCCCACTAAATTTTTTTTTTGGTAGTTGGTGGGGAGGAGGGGCCGCCTTTAGATGCTTAAGCGCCCAGATTCTGGCCCCCTAGCCCCTATGCTGGCGGCACCCCGGTCTACCGCTCAACGCCCCCTCCAGTTAGGTCGACACTGCCTGTATATTTACAACAGTGAGATACATTTAAATGAGCATAATCCAACAGTCGTGTTCATCGCTGTTCTTGCTGACGGACATAATTTTGTTCAGTTGATACACTTGAGTACAGAAAAAATCTCACTTTGATTATAATCAGCGGACTGTGTTGTTAATACCTAAGTTTAGTTTAGTCGACGGATCAACATCATGGCACACGAGTGTAAATCCCATAAGTGCTCCGTTCTATTTCTAACTTAAGCCTGAGTCTCAGCGCAGTGCAAGAGATCCGTTGCACCGGCGAGGATAAGTGGATTTTACGTGAGCAACAATTCACACAGGCGTCCGATTTTACCACGGCCATCTTTAGATATAAATAGGCAAACTGGGTCAACAGGGAGACTGGAGAAGGCCGTGGATTTTACTACCTAGAGAACGGGGAAAATTACTAGGAGTCCACTTTAAAAAAAAAAATCCCAGCTTTCACCGGGGTTTGATCCGGGACTCCAGCACTCGCGGCGGATGCCATACTTCGAGACCACACATTCCCCTTTAGAACAAATAAGAGACAGCACTGGAGATCTTTGGTAGCCAATCTTTACTGCGGAGACGGAACTTGATTAATTGCTTACAGAAACAGAATGGTATCGTTGCTAAGTCTTCACTAGCAATTTGCGACACACATAACAACTGATAAAATCAGCCGCAGATTATATTCCTCTCCGTGTTATCGTGGCTTACACTAGCGCGGCAATGTGTTAATTATTTCACTTTTGTTTATTACTGAGAGAATTGATTCTCTTACGACACAGCTGCCTACACTTCTCTCTCCCCTCTCTCTCCCCTATCTCTCTTCTTTCTCTCTCTCCTCTCTCTCTATATATATATTTTATTTATATATGTATATACACACACACACATAGACAGACGGACATACAGACAGGCAGACGAATTGAAGGACGGACGGACGGACGGACGGACGGACGGACGGACGGACGGACGGACGGACGGACGGACGGACGGACGGACGGACGGACGGACGGACGGACGGACGGACGGACGGACGGACGGACGGACGGACGGACGGACGGACGGACGGACGGACGGACGGACAGACAGACAGACAGACAGACAGACAGACAGACAGACAGACAGACAGACAGACAGACAGACAGACAGACAGACAGACAGACAGACAGACAGACAGACAGACAGACAGACAGACAGACAGACAGACAGACAGACAGACAGACAGACAGACAGACAGACAGACAGACAGACAGACAGACAGACAGACAGACAGACAGACAGACAGACAGACAGACAGATAGATAGATAGATAGATAGATAGATAGATAGATAGATAGATAGATAGATAGATAGATAGATAGATAGATAGATAGATAGATAGATAGATAGATAGATAGATAGATAGATAGATAGATAGATAGATAGATAGATAGATAGATAGATAGATAGATTGTTTGTGCGCACGAGCGTATAATTTGCTTGTGTAAACATATTCGGAACTTCCAAACCTGACTTTTCATTAAACAAGCAACGGCCCAAACTTCCGGAGATATCATTTCATAGAATGCTGAGAATTTCTTGGGTAGGCAAAATGAGTCATCTCGGAGTTTCCAACGATGCCAAGACACGAAGACAAGACAGCTATCAAAAGTATCAGAAAGAGGCAGTTATCAGTTATGGTCGCATTTTGAGACATAAAACCTGGAGCTTGTTTTGAGAGCCAAAAAGATTTACGGAAAGAGATCAAAAGACTCCGAAAACGAAAGATAATTCACGAGGCCCTTTTATCGTGTCACAGTTTCAGCACACGAACAGATGGGTGTGTGTTATAAGGGATCGCCCACGCCAGTTGGCAAGTCACTTCTTGATGTGTGTGTGTGTGAGTTTGTGTGATGTGTGCGAGAGTGCGTGCGTGCGTGCAAGCGTATTTGCTTGTGTTTGTGCTAACGTGTGGGTGTGTAAGTGTATATAATTGTATTCACTTGTGCGTGTGTGATAAAATGTCACACAAGCTGAGAAAGTATTCTGTCTCATCCAGAAACTATTTGGCTGGAGACATTTCTGTGCAAATAAACAAACACGACCGATGACAGAGTGTGCAGAGTTGGATATAAGACGCCTCAAGATCGACGTACTTTTTTTTTTTTTTTTACGTATCCAGAAACCATGAGTTGTAAACCATTTTGCACGGTACTATGGATATCGCAACCCTTCGGCATTGATTCCATTATAGGTACCGTTAATCTGGGAGAAATGTGGCTTTTCTGCCTACCCCCGGGAGTGAACCCGGACCACAAGGAGTTCGTCACCCGGCCGCCGCGAAAGTCAGGTTTAACCAACTTCGCTAGAGAGCCGGGTAGATCGACGTACTTAAATCGTGTGTGCGCAAAGACAGTTGGATAGCACAGCGTCTAAGTAAAACATCTATGCAGCTTTTTCAACCTTCCAGATAAAATGCAAGGTTGCAAGTAAGATGCTGTAAGAGAAACACATTCTCCAGTGGCTGTGATGTGAAGACAGAACACACGATCGGATAAAGGTCAAGAGTCATTGGAAAGGTACTAAGGTCAGAATGTAAACGAGCGTGGATTTATAGTGAAAGGTAAAGTCGGGAGATGTGAACCTGCGTCATTGCACACGGTTATAAACCATACGTGCTCTGCCACCAGTATGGACAGCTGATAAAAATGTGTCCGCCTGTGTCGCCGTCCGCACGTAACTCCGTAGCTACAGCGACGTTCCTCTATTTATCCTAGAGTGTTAACTCTGTTACCCATTACCTAGAACAGAAGTTCTCAAACTGGGAGCCGCGACAACAAGTACTATTGTCATGCCCTTGGCGATATGTGCATACTCGGCTAGACTTCTCTTAGAACCAATCGGCACTCGATGGGTGAGAAAAAAGAAGGAAAAGGGAATGAAGGAGGAGGGAGAAGAAGAAGAAGAAGAAGAAGAAGAAGAAGAAGAAGAAGAAGAAGAAGAAGAAGAAGAAGAAGAAGAAGAAGAAGAAGAAGAAAAAGAAAAAGAAGAAGAAGAAGAGGGGGAGGTCGAGGAGAAGGGTGAGGAGAAGAAGAAGAGAAAGGAAGGAAGGAAGGAAGGAAGGAAGAAGAAGAAGAAGAAGAAGAAGAAGAAGAAGAAGAAGAAGAAGAAGAAGAAGAAGAAGAAGAAGAAGAAGAAGAAGAAGAAGAAGAAGAAGAAGAAGAGGGGGAGGTCGAGGAGAAGGGTGAGGAGAAGAAGAAGAGAAAGGAAGGAAGGAAGGAAGGAAGAAGAAGAAGAAGAAGAAGAAGAAGAAGAAGAAGAAGAAGAAGAAGAAGAAGAAGAAGAAGAAGAAGAAGAAGAAGAAGGAGAAGAAGAAGGAGAAGAAGAAGAAGAAGAAGAAGAAGTTACGAAGAGGATAAAGCCGTAATATGCATGCTCAAACTCTTAGTTATTCTCTTCTTAAATGAAAACACATCGAAATCCTAGAATTGTACACACTGTTCAGTGTTTCAACACATTCCTGAAGTCAGTGAAGGGAGATCCGAGATCTGACTGATTTTTCTCACAGTGAGGACAAAGATACCTCTGTGCTTTCTACCTGCAGCGTGTTCACTCCCGCATACCTCTGAGACCAGATCTGGCGTTCCCGCACACAGGCCTACAGTGTTCAAGTGGCCCCGGTATTTACCAAACTGCTACTCACATCAAGGCAAAACTTCGTCCCAGTGTAGGCGTGGTGAGATTTGCACTTCAGTTCTTTTTTTTTTTTTTTTTGACTCCTTCTAAATCTGTTTTAGCTCGTTTGGCACAAGACTAGAGTTTAACTTAGCCATCATCGTCAAGCTGTGCTCTTTTTACACGATATAGGCATGGCAGTCGATTTCTGCTGTCTCGGCCTCAAAGGCGTCATAGATGTGCTTCACCGTGCTTTACTCCACTGTCACGCAACCGTGTTAGTATCAGAAATTCGTCATTATCCACTAGCCCAGTCCGTACAGCGTTAATGTTATCTGCTCTTTTTCCAAGGCAGATTGTTTACATATTTACAAATGTAAGTGGCATGATACCAGAGGAACACTGTAGAAGAAATTGAGGCCTCACGTAATAACCTGAAAGACAGCGAGGCCCTTCATTGTGAAGATGGCCCACCAGTTTGTAATACATGATTTCGTGCTTTATTAATATTCTACTAGAGAAGAAGTCACAGGACAGTCCAACATTTTAAAGGGTGTTAAGACTTGGTATCCCGGCTTTCTGATGCTTTTAAAGACCCCAGAACATCTAGAACTGGCTCTAACCTCAACCCACCTAAGTCCCACGAGAGAGAGAGAGAGAGAGAGAGAGAGAGAGAGAGAGAGTGCAGCCTAGGTCCCACGAATGCATGCAGCCTATCTACCACCCCCTGAAATATTTGACTGTCCCGAGACCTGTGGAAACTGCAGCATTACAGAAAAGCGGATCGAAAAGTCGTGGGTTCGGGTCTTGACTGTACAGGACATTTTTTTCAAAAATGACCTTGCTTTCCAGGTCGACCCAGCCTTAAATGGGGTACCAGATGGAGTCCTGTAAAGTAAAGGGGGTCAACGCATTGCTGACTACATCACCCACCAAGTGCCGACTTGTCTATAAAATATAGTCTAGCCCTATATGCCCAATGTGCCTAAAGACAGGGAAAAGGGTCCTTTAATTTATTTACCTAACTAAGGTTTAAAGTTAAAGTCGAGAGGATCGACTTCACTGTTCCGGGTTTTATCCCATAGGGCTCGATCTCTCACCGCAAAACGGTTAGCCACCTGTCGAAATCATTGCACAGAGAACGAAAACTCCTTAGTTCCGGCCACGATCCTTGGAAGTCTCCGTGATGAATCTTCTTCTTTGCGTTCGGTTTCGTATGCTCAGATCAGACCATCAGGTGGGTAGCCTCTATGAACTCGCATGTCAGCTGCAGGTCCTGCATGGTTCCCCATAGCTGACTCTGCACACTTAGCTCTTGAGGCCAGGTGCTCTTGAGGCCAGGTGTCTTTTCGAAGTTGCAGGTAGAGTGGGCAGTGGGCAGGTCTGCAGAATGTGCTGAGGTGTTTGTGGTCTTGTTTGACAGACACACTGTGGGGACTGTACTATCTTTATTTTATGCATGTGGTAGTTGGGCCTGCAGTGTCCTGTTCGTAGACGGAAAATTGTTGTATGTTGCTTTCTGTTGAGTCTGCTGATGGGGTCTTGTGAATGTTTACTGTTAGTTTGTTCTCTCCACAATAACTTGTATTTTCCTTTGATAAGTGTTCTGATTTATGGTAATGACAATGAAGACATCAGAACTAAATCTGGAGTGGAAATGAGGAGAACGCCATGCTTATCCAACTTCCCTGCTGTAGAAATTAGCATTATTTACCATAAATCCGGCACACACACGTAAAACAATGAGCGCGTTATTTATGTGTTTGACGTCACTGTTTGTGTAAGCTGTAGCTGACAGTGGACACACAACACCCACACAGGGCGGGGATTGTTCTGCTGTAGGTAGCCATCAAGTTTAAGCTGGGCGTTAGCCTTCGTCATTGGTGGGTCATTGAAATGTTGCTAGATGAGTCAAAAAAGTTAAACGTGGTGCTAAAAGAGTAGTGAACCGTTTTTGTACTAGACACAATTTAGTTCCATGTTCGACAATTTAGCACTGTAATGAGTACAAAATGTAATAAGTTAAAAACATATTTTTACAAAGGTGGTGGGATGTAATGTATGGGTTTGGTAGCCTTGACGCTTCAAATATCCATTGAACCCTTTAACAAAGTAATGTCTGACTAGATTATGAAACGTATTGCTGGCTGCAATGGGAACTTGAGGACAGACAGCTGTAGGGACGGACAGGCAGACAGACAGATATACAAACAGATTAGATAGACAGGCAAACAGACAGATAGACAGGCAGACAGACAGACAGACAGACAGGCAGACAGGCAGGCAAGACCGACCGACCGACCGACCGACCGACCGACCGACCGACCGACCGACCGACCGACCGACCGACCGACCGACCGACCGACCGACCGACCGACCGACCGACCGACCGACCGACCGACCGACCGACCGACCGACCGACCGACCGACCGACGACCGACCGACCGACCGACCGACCGACCGACCGACCGACCGACCGACCGAGCCGACCGACCGACCGACCGACCCGACCGACCGACCGACCGACCGACCGAACCCGACCGACCGACCGACCGACCGACCGACCGACGACCGACCGACCGACCGACCGAACCGACCGACCGACCGACCGACCGACCGACCGACCGACCGACCGACCGACCGACCGACCGACCGACCGACCGACCGACCGACCGACCGACCGACCGACCGACCGACCGACCGACCGACCGACCGACCGACCGACCGACCGACCGACCGACCGACCGACCGACCGACCGACCGACCGACCGACCGACCGACAGACAGACAGACAGACAGACAGACAGACAGACAGACAGACAGACAGACAGACAGACAGACAGACAGACAGACAGATAGATAGATAGATAGATAGATAGATAGATAGATAGATAGATAGATAGATAGATAGATAGATAGATAGATAGATAGATAGATAGATAGATAGATAGATAGATAGATAGATAGATAGATAGATAGATAGATTGGACAGACGACAGATAAACTTACCTCTGTAACAGAAGATCAAGCCGGTTTCCACTTTCCAAAATTGAAGACTGCGCTTCCTTGTGCAGCAGATATTCGGTTGCTGTGTTACCAATTTTGAGAATCACATCCCCGACCTGCAGGCCACATTTGGCCGCCAGACTCCCCGGGTTAACCTAAAAGAGAAACATGATTCATTTTCACGGATACACTATTTGCCTTTGTGCTCAGCGAACTTGTTGATCTTTGAACAGATGTATCTTGTAATGGGCTGTTCTTTTCTTCTTCTTCTTTGCGTTTACCGGCTGTAACCTCCAGCGTAAAGTTCTTGTAGTTCCCCAAACTCTGGACTGCAGTCCTGTTCCAGAACCTGAGTGTTGCGTGTGCATCCGTTTGACAAATCTGACTCATTTGTGCACAGACTGTTGGTACTTTGCCTCTCAGGCAGATGCACTCCGACTTCTAAGGAAGCTTCCAATTAGTCGACTCTTGGACATGCTTTTTGGTAGACAGTGGGTCTATTCTTGTTTTCCCCACAGTTGGGACTGGAACCCAACTAAGTTTATTTCAGGGACCAACATTTTGAAAATGTGGATCGTCGTGGACCCTAGGCTCGAGTTCCACCATAGAAAGGTCTTTTAACTCTGTGAGTTCAAGGGCGTTTAGCATCAGAGGCCTTAGGAGTAGTCAAGAGAGACATAAAATCGGCGTATCTTGCGTTCCCTGGGCTTCTAGGTTGGAATCTATGAACGTATTATGTGTTCTTTGAGACTCAAAGAGTTAATATACTACAACTGGCAATGATCCGTCGGCCACTTGCTAGTTCTCGGCGGGCCGGATTTGAGGGCCACCAGCTCTCATCACAGTCTGTCTAAAAAGAAACTCGGTCTCTAGCCATTTCTCCCGCCTCTAGTACTCTCATTTTCAAGGAGTCACTTACATTCTGTGCCCATTTTTTAGTTGGTCGGCTTCTCCTTCTTGGTACCATACTTTCTGCTGTTATTTTTTTCCCCAGTCCGCTATGGCGCTTGCTATGACCAAAATATTTCAGCTCCATAATGACCTCAAGTATTGTTATTACAGGGATCAATATGTTGACAAACAATTTACATTCTTACATAGCAGTGAAGCGGTCAAATGGGAAAGTTTACAGATATGCCAGGTTGGCTAAACATTTAGACGTAATAACTTAACAGGCAAAAAGTAACAATTGTCACCTTTACCAGACTACATCATGAAGGGGGTTAGAGAGTAAAGTTGTTGAGCTTAAACGGGTAAAGTTAGCCAAATAAAGTTAATCTCTTCCACTCTGCCCGAAAATTACAACAGGAAGACAATTAGGTAAGTAATAACGTTAAATCCATCCCAGTTAAAGTGTAAGTAGAGTAAAGGACCTTTAGGCGTATGGGGCATATAGGGCTAGACCTATATTTAATAGAACAATCGGCACAAGATGGGTGATGTGGTCAGCATCACTCCGGCCGTCTTTACTTCCCAGGACGGGACCCGGTACCCACTCAAGGCTAGGTCGACCTGGAAGCCATAGTTATTTTTGAAAAAAGTTCGGCACGGCCAGGGAGCGAACCCACGACCTTCCGATCCACGGCAAGCGTCTAGCTGCTCCGCCACGGCGACTCTCCCAGTTAGAGTAACTTTAAATAATAGAGTTACTAAATTGGCCAAAACTAATCTTTTGTTTGTCGTCACATGCCAAAAGAGGTATAGTGGCACTTTTGTTGTTCTTCTTTTCTCTAGTTTCCGTTCTGCTTTTCAGCGTCAGATAACTTACAAAGTAAAAGATGACTGAAATTCAACACACAGATACTTACATTTTGAATGATCAGAGGACTATTAAAATCCTTTCCACCTTGCATACGAAATCCCCAAGGTGTGCTGCTATCATACCTCTCCAATTTGGCCTCTAAGTTTAGAACAGACATGGCTATTAGAACGACCGTTAGTCTGAGAACCTGCCAAAACTAACCCTGAGACTAAGATACAGGTTTGCTATAAACTTTACTCCGGCCGGTGAGTAACGCCAGCTGCTTGTTGCTCGTTTACCGGCTTAGTTACAGCCAACACGTTTGCACACGTTACTCCGTGTTTGCCCCCTCCTTCTCATAACCCAAATGCAGAGGTGAAAATATCTCGCTATTTATGGCGTGTAGATATCAGGGGAGTTAGTTTTGGAGGGGAAGGGATGGGAGTGTTTATATTTTAATAACTTAACCTTAAAATCTGGTCGTGGTTTTTACTAGGGATAAGATCAATCATGTCGTTTCTCCACAATTCGTTGTATAGACACGCGGAGCGGCCTCGGTGAGGCGATTAGACCCACTCTCGAAGGTTGTTGGTTCAAATCGACATCTTAAAATGACCTTGGCTCCCAGGTTGACCACATCACCCACCGAGTTTGTTTATTTGTTAATTTGTTTATTCAACGGACCAACATTATTGCACACGGGTATAGCCCATACGTGCTCCGTTCTACTTGTAACTCAAGCCTGAGTCTGAAGAATCTCAGCGCAGTGCACAAACCTTGTTTCACCGGCGAGGGCCCTTAAATACTTTGGGTAGATTTGTAACTCCAAATTTTGCTGTGGCGGCGCCGTTAGGCTACTATTTTTCAATTTCCAACTGCTGAATTTTTTTTTACGTGCTCAACAATACACACGGGCGTCCGGTCTTAGCACCCAGAGACCAGAGGAAATTACTAGAAGTCCGTGTAAAAAAATCCCAGCCTTTACCGGGGTTTGAACTCGGGACCTCCAGCACTCTCGGCGAATGCCATACCCCTAGAGTGTCGTTTCCTTTACATAGTAAGGTCCCTCGTGATATACCCAATACGCCAGACCTGTGTGTGGTGAATATATAATTTGATGTTATTTCTAATTGGTTTTCAAATTATGTCTGTATAATAGATCTGGCGAATGATGTACACACACACACACACACACACACACACACACATATATATATATATATATATATATATATATATATACACACACACACACACACACACTCGCCTTTCTCTTCTCTTTTGCCCCTTTCTTAACCATATTTATATTCTTATTATCACCCTGCACGTTTCCTTTCGCACACGCCTACACTTACGCTGCAACTCCACCCACAATTAGCACTTGTTTACACACGGTAACAGCAGTAGCCAAACGCCCAGTGACTAACTCGGCCTTCCCTCTTGTGTGTCCTGGCCACTTCAGCACACAGTCCGACATTTTGTTTTCCTTGAGCCGAAACTGTCTTCTCCAAATGACGATTGTGCCAGGCTCGCTGCCACAACGAAAATCACACAATGCACCACAAATTATGTGGCAAAAGACCACTCGCCATTTTCTGAATCTACAGTTCACAACACCGCGTTGGTCACATTCGAAAACAATTCCAAATGAAATCTGTAGCTCACAATTTCGCTCCTTGCACTCAACTCAGAAACTGGGCGACAAAACTATTTTTTTTTGTGTGTCTACAAATTTAGGAAAATGCAACCGTCACAGTCTGTCAGAAGCAAAAAAGGTCAGATGCACTGGACTCCAGGTCTTTCTTGGTCTGCCTTTTCTCTTCTTTCTTAAAAGCTGAGCCGATAACAATACACCATGGATTGCCACAGAACTCTCTATTGTCTCTTATCCTCTTCAACATCTGCACCGTCACAATTACAGTAGAACAACTGAGTGGCAGAGGAAGAACTCTATCGTATGCAGATGATATCCTTGTGTACCGACAGGGCAAGAACAGAGATGACATTGATTCGGAACTCCAACAGGAATTAGATGGCATATAATCCTAGCGCAACACCTCAGGGCAACAATTAATCCATAAAAAGCGACAGTTCCTGGTTCTCGTTAAATAATCACTTTTCCAAAAACACCATTGCTGATGATAAAACGCTGTGGCGCTGACGTAGAGAGACATAATTCCGCGAAATTCCTAAGTATAACATTTGACAGATGCATGGAATTTAAAAAAACATGTAGATGACATAATCAAAGCCAAGAAAGGTCTCTCTACAGTAAAAGTTATGGGAGCTGGTAATCTGGTAATCTGGTAATCCTAGTTTCAGCTTCATAGCAAACGGGTCACCCCACACATGCTCCGCTCCTGTGCCAACGAAAAACAAACGCAGCTCACAGTGTCACGCCATGCACTCAACTCAGAAGCTGGGCGACGAAACTACATCCTTCCAGTCTACAAATGGAGCAAAAATGCAACGGCCACCGTCTGGAAAAATATTTGCCACGGCTTAAAAAAAAAAAAGGTGGCCGTACCTAGCGTCCATTTTGACCGGAAGAATTATATGAAGGTTAATAAACGGTCACCCCAGCAGTACCCTCATTATTAGCTGTGGAAGGGACTTAGGACATTACATCCACCAGCAGGCGTCGCCCCTACAACAACCTGCCTGCCCTCGTTAACGACTGTTCACCCAACAGCCATGCAGTTCTTTGGCACGAAGGAGACACCTTGAACTTGGGTTTCGTACTGCCGACTCCCTACTAAGATGTTATTTTATGTTCTGTTATCACAATAATGTCATTGCACATTGGGCATACCCATGCGTGCTCAGTTCTCCGAAGCAGCAGCCACTCTAAAGTACTTCTACTAATTGTCCCCATGAGAAGCTTGTTATATTGTCTCCTTTCTCGGCCTCGAAGACGGCAAAGACGTGCATCACCATGCTTAACTCCCATGTCACGCTATCGTGTTAGTGTCAGGGATTCCTCATTCTCCACTAGCCCGGTTCGTACAGCGTTGACTATGTCTGCTCTGTCCATACTTTTTCCTGCAATCATTAGTGCAGTGCTTGCCAGTTGGTCTGCTCGCTCATTTCCCTTCACGCCCGCATAACCCGGTGTGTAGATCCAGGTTACGGAGGTTAAGTGCGATTTCCTGATGCTTTCTATCCATTCAGAGCGCATACTGACTGTTGCTATCTTCTGAAGCATATTCATTGAGTCTGAGACAATTACTACCTGTGTGGCGGTTTGCTCGGATACCCATGCTAAAGCTCTAGAAACAGCGGCTATTTCCATTGTCATGCTTGACGTGGTTGTCTGGTAAGCGCCGCTGTCCTCATGTATTGTTTTCCCCTTTCTTTGCGCTGTGTATGCCCATGCTGACCTTGATCCGCGCTTCACAGATCCATCTGTGTAGATGATGGTATCTTCTGGGTCTGAATGCTGATCTATCAGTTCCCTTACTTCTGTGTCTACCGCCGCAGGAATTTGATCCCTGCAGTACCTTCCGAGTGTGATGACAACCTTAGAGATGCCATGCATGTCTACTGGTGTATTCGTCCATTCTTTTCCGTGGCTGATCACGTCTAGGTCACATACCTGCTGGATTAAGTCCTCAGCCTTTGCCATCCAAGAGCGGCCCCTTTTGAGACGCGTTCCTTTGTGTCGTGAATAGCTTTGTGTAAATGGGTGGTTAACATCTGCCGATACCCTCATGTAAGCCTTGACCTGTGCCACTTTGTATCTGCTTGTCATAGTCGGCAGACCAGGATATAACGCATGGCGTTGCAGGAGGTGTCTTTTGTGCAGCCGAGTATGAGTCTCATGGCCTCATTCTGTACTCGGTCCAGTCTTTCTAGCTGGGTTTTGCTGACAGTTAGGAGGCCGAGACCATAGTCAATGACGCTAAGCACAAGCCCTTGATAGAGAAGGAAAAGTAGACGTTGTTCAATATCAGCTGCTGCTAGCACCTTGAGTGCTGTCAAACCTTTCCTGGCTCTAAGTATGACGTTGTCTACGTGGCATTTGTATGACAAGCATCTGTCAAATGTCATGCCCAGGTATTTCATGGTGTCCGTTCTCTCGATGTCCACACCACAGATGCTTACGACTGGCGTTGGTGTACTCACGATGTGGGTATTCAGAGAGAACCATGTTAAGGAGGCTTTGCACGGGTTCACATGAGCTCTTGATTCCTGGCACCACTCACTAAGTCTGTCTAGTTCGTGTTGTAGTGTGGTTGTAATTTCCTGCCTGTTTTTACCTCGACGGTAAACAAGGATATCATCTGCATACGACATTGTTCTGCCTAGGCCTACGCGTTGTGCACTAGTGACTCCTGCTGTGTACACATTGAAGATGGGAGCTGCAAGCTTTGAGCAACGGCTACTTGAAATGTTATACCATGAGTTAGTTCTCTCTACCATTGAAAATGCATTGACCATCATAACACTCAGCACCTCAAAGATGAACAGATTGGACAAAACAGACAACGAGGCAATTCGTATTATTAATTGGATGCACTAGAGACACCTCTTGTAAATGCATGCGATACCTCTTGGATTTCCCCACAGTGGAAAACAGAATCAAGCTACCCAGGGCCGGTGCTTTCCTCAAAAGTGAAGTCAGGCCCTCGACACCCACTTCATAAGGAATTATTAAAGCAAACAAAAGAAAAAAACTTCAACCAGGCAAATCCTCGTTTAAAATGGCGCCTTTGCTGCTACAGCTAGCAACCTTACAATGCAAACTATGGCTGTTACAAGGGCATTAGCATTCCTGGGTACTCAAGAGTTCACACAGGCGTGCATACTTAGTGACTCGATGAATATGCTTTAAAAAAAACTAGGCTAGTTTCATCGGACAAGAATGGATTGCAACACTAAGCACTTCGCAAATGGCTGCCCTAACCTTCATCTTTGTGCCAGGTATTAAGGGTGTACAAGGGAACGAGCGTGCAGATTATCTTGCAGACACTGAGGTTGTTATTGCTGGTCCAGTACTGGTCAGAAGCGATGTTATCAATGCCATGCGCACTTAAAGGCATGACTCCATATCCCTGTCTAGACGGATGGACATTTGGGTACAGTCTGGAGATGCAGGAAATGATCATTTCACTACGGCGACAAGACGTTCCATTAATCAACACAGAACAGGCGTCATCAGCAGTTTTACACTTATGG